ATATATATATATATAGAGAGAGAGAGAGAGAGAGAGAGAACATCAAATGGTGTTATTTTTGCCTCAACCATCATGTCTGATGTAAGACACTTAGAAGTAGGATAGTATAATATTCCTATTTTTCCCATTCTGATGTTCTTTTCTTTCAATAGTTTCAAGACTTTGTTGTTATCACGGACTTTGTTTAGAGGATTTCTTTTAGTTCTTCCTGAAGTATTTTAGTTTTTCCTTAGTTATCTTTTGAAAACATCTTTATTTCCCTTTTATTCCTGAATACGTTCACTAGATAGAGAATTCATTGCTGATAGTTCCTTCCATTGAACTTGAGAAAAATATGCAACTTCCTCTGGCTTCCATAGTTCAGATTGGGGCAGGAGGGTGGTTTCTCCAGTGGTATTTGATTGAAGGAAGGTGGGAATTACCAAGAAAGTTTTCTGTTTGGCCACCCTTTTCCTGGTTTTGACTAAGGGGAACAGGCTTAGAGCTTTTTTGGTCTGTGTCTGTTGGAGGTTCTTACATAGAAGCTTCTACAACACATTAGCTGAAAGATACGGGAGTGAAAAGGAGAAGGGAATTTACTACCATGTTGCTCCTCAGCCCTGAAGTTCCTTGCAGTTTGCCTTCTTCTTTTCACATTGCAGAGTCTTTTTTTTTTTTTAAAGAATTTATTTATTTATTTGACAGAGATCACAAGTAGGCAGAGAGGCAGACGGGGGTGGGGAGGGGGAGCAGACTCCCCGCTGAGCAGACAGCCTGATGTGGGGCTCAATCCCAGGACCCTGAGACCATGACCTGAGCTGAAGGCAGAGGCTTAACCCACTGAGCCACCCAGGCGCCCCTCACATTTCGGAGTCTTCTTATGTTTGTTTATTTATGCCCAGGGATTTTAGTTGTAAGAGGGATGACATAGGAGGAATGGTGGTCATCTCTTCTGGCTCAAAACCCCTAATACAGAGTTTTCCCCAATACTTTATTATGAAAAATTTCAAACACAAAGTAAAACTGAAATAATTTTACAGTCAACACCCATAAACCATCACCTAGATCTACTACTAATATGAAAAGGGGTCTACTTCTCAACTTGAGTGGATATTTTCAGGGGTTTTCTCTCTATAATGATGTGTTATTATTGGATTATATGTTCTAATTGCCTTTCTGTATATTTCACATTTTGAAAAGTATGAAAAATATGACCTTAGTTTGTTTCATACACACAACTGTGTGTAAGCACACATAATAGTATATATGAATAGATGTACTCAGTGTTTATTACTATTTCTTCATTCCACATACTGTACTATAAATACTATAAATTTCTTATAATTTTCACAATCAGGTAAACAACAAAGCACTTTACAAAAATTATGCATATGCAATATTTAAAAATGACCAAAATTTTGAACATTTCAATAAAGTACATATACAGGCAGTTTATATCAGAAAATATCTAAATGGCTCAATAAATATGAGATCATATTTAATTTCACAAGTACTCAAAGTTAGATATAAAAAACTTGCCCCCTTGAATAAACAAAAACTTAAAGAAAAAGCATTAAAAACAAAACAAAAACCCCAGAGTAAGCATGGGTGTTAGACTGTAAGGGCCTGCCCCTCCCAGAGGAACTAGCTTGTGGACCCCGGAAGTAGGGGCGGGGCAGGCCGGGTGGAGACGTCCAATCGGTGTGGCGTGGGTATATCCACTGGGTGAATTAGGATTCAAATGGCCGCCTGTGTAGGGGCGGGGCTCAACCACCCCCATAAAGGTTGGTCTGCGAGGCTGGTGAAGAAGGGAAGAAGGAGAGCTGTCAAAAGAGAAGAAGAAGCAGCAGAAGAGTCGGCGGGAGCAGCAGAGAGGAGTCAGCAGGAGAAGAAGAAGAGCTGTAAAAGCTCTTGTAAGAGCTATAAGGGCTGCCAGCGGTCCTGAGCCGCCAGCGGCTGAGATGCCAGCAGCCCCGCCCACACCGTGGCTTCAGCAGCGGCAGTGCCTCGGGGAGCAGCCCAGGCGCCTGCGGACCCAAGCCCCCAGCGGTCCCCAGCCATGGGGGGCCCCTACGCCAGCAGCCCCGCCCACACTGCGGCTTTGGCAGTGGCGCCTCGGAGAGCAGCGGAGCCACCAGCAGCCGAGACGCCAGTGGCCCGGATGCCAGCGGCCCCGCCCACACACTGCGACCCTCAGCAGCGGCGCCCCTGGGAACGGCCTAGACGGCAGCAACCTCACTGGGAACCCTAAGCCGCTGCCTCGCCGGAGCTGTGTCATTCTGGGGAGCGGCTTCGTCAGGGAAGAGGCCTCGGTGAACGGCCCTGCGGAAGCAGCATCGTCAGGGAAGAGGCTTCCTCCAGAGCGGCCTCGCCGGAGCAGCCTTGTCAGAGTGGTGTCATGGGAAGCAGAATCTGTGTCATCGGTGTTGTCCTTCCTGTCATCATTGCTGTCGTCATCGCCTCTTCTTGGGAGTGGCCCTGCCCGGGGAGCGACCTCACCAGCAGCGGCCTTCTTGGGAGCAGCTCCAACCAGGGAGCGGCCTCATCTGCGGAGCAGCCTCGTCCAGAGCGGCCTTCTTGAGAGTGACCTTGTCGGAATCATCATCGTCGTCTTTTCGTAAGAGACAGCCCTGACCGGTCAGTTTGATTTTTGATGCTTGGTGTGAAATAAAGCTTTGTTTGATTTTCGCTTTATATCAGTCTCGTTCCTTTGATCATGGACCCTAACAAGACATAGCACATATTATCACCAACTGCTATGGAAATAAAAATTGTAAAAGCTTCCAGGAAGGCAACTAGGCAATGGGCTCAGAATGCCACCAGTCCTTGATAAAGTCATTCAATTCAAGAAATTTAACTAAGAAAATAATCCTCAAAGATGTAGGTACAAGAATATTAATGGAGCGAAAACTTGGAAATAACATAACTAACAAGAAACGTTAAATAAGCTTAATTTAGTTAAATATATTTAACTAGATATAACAGTATATGTACAATACACATTAAATAAGCTTAATTTAAAGATATAGTTAAATAAGCTTTAATTAAATTAAGCCTACTTAACTATTTTGTTTATTTAGCTTATTTAACTATTTAACTATTAGCTTATTTAAATATTTAACTACCAGCTTATTTAACTATTTTAGTTAAATATGTTAGGGTCCGTAATCAAAGGAGCGAGACTGATAAAAAGCGAAGGTCAAGCAAAGCTTTATTTCGCACCAAGCATCGGGAATCAAACTGACAGGTCAGGGCTGTCTCTTGCAAAGAGGCGACCCCTCCCAGCCTCACAGACTGACTTTTATAGAGGTAGTTTAGCCTGGCTATACACAGGTGGCCAATGAGATTGCAGTACCCAGAGAAAACTGCACAGTCATGCTAGGTCGGCCATACACAGAAAAAAACGCTAGGTAACACACGGGTGGCCAATTGAATTTCAATTTACCTTAGTAGATATATGTGCGCCCCACTGATTGGATGTCTTCACCCGCCTGACCCGCCATTGTATCTAGGCTTTGCAATTAAGTTCCTCTGGGAGAGGCGGGGTCAATCTAAGTTCACTGCATAAACACAAAATGACACCCTCTGGCTAACCAGGCCCTTACAAAATATATTTTAAAATTTTAATTTGCCATAATGGAAGGCACTGAAGCCATTCAAAACATTCCTCAGGGAGAGTTATCTACTGGCAAATTCAAATGTCCAAGGTACATTCCTATGTGGGGGAAAAAACCAAAGTAGGTTACAATTGCTATCTGCAAGATTCCATTTTGCTAAAAGCAGGTCGGCAGCAAATGTTCACCAAAACGTTAACCACTTTTGGGCGGTGGCATCGGGTACATTTTTCTTTCGTTTTTGTTGTTGTTGTTGTTTGTTTGTTTGTTTTTTCCCTATTTATAAAATCTCCCCAATGGGACACGCTCCCATCACGAAGAAAAGAGAACCATTGGCTTCTCCGCCCCTGGAACGCCCCTTCCCTTCACACCGCTGCTGCCAGGGGATCCCCACTCACTCTTCTGAATGCGCCCAGATGCCACCACCCTGCTTTCCTGTTTCTCCCCATAACGCTTATCCTCTAAAAATGTCACAGAATTACGTCCATGGCTTATTGGGTGCTTCCTTACCAACTCCCCCCAAAAAAGTTCTTGAAAGCAACGACCTTTGTTTTGTTCACTGATTCCCAACCACTTATGGCAGCCCTTGCCACAAGAAGATGCTCGAAACACGTTGGCTGAATGACCGAAGGGGAAATAAGTTTGTTCTCCGCGATTGTCTACTTGCCTTACTGTTATTGTGCCGATGTACAGCTACAAGACATGGCCCTTGGCGAATCGTTTCCTTCACAGGGAGTCCGGAGCCAGAGCCCTCGCCGCCCAAGCGGTGCGACCACGAGCCCGGAAGCGGAAACTCCGCACTGACAGGCTCGCCCCTCCCAGCCCCGCCAACCAGAGCGGAGAACTACACTTCCCAGAATGCGTAGGTTCTCGCCTGGACTACATTCCCCAGGGGTATTAGCGGCCTTCCCTAACTCGCCCCCTGCCCCGCCCCTCTGGACAGCCGGCTTTTGCAGCCCACGGCTCCCGGCCTGAGTTCAGCCCAGTGAGGTTAGAGACCCGAAGAAGGGGTCCAAACCCCGGGCTGCTGTCCAACCGGGCAGTGCCGGAGCCTCCGCCTGCAGAGCACGGCCGGGAGGCGCAGACCCCGGAACCCCGAGGCCTGGGCGAGGTGAGCGGCGGAAGGTCGGTTGAATGCGGGACAGAGGGAGGACCCCGGCCTTGGGAGGACCCCGCGCCGGGGCACGGGGCACAGGCCGGAGGCTCACGAGCGGGGCCTTTGTAGGCGCGCGCAATGGGGGCCAAGGGCTGGCACCACCACACCAGCCGTCCTGCGGACGTGCCGCTGACCGCGGCAGGTCGGGCACCTATCCCCACCGGCCCAGGCCCTGGTCACACTCCTACTCCCTTCGGACTCGTGCCCGGCGTTCTACCTGCCGGGCCATGCCAGCGTTTGGATTTGCTCCCGGCTGTCCGTGAACGTGAGTAACTGTTTTTCCACCCCTGCCCGGCGCCACTGCCTTCCCGGGCTGCAGGCGCAGAGATGTGTTTTCCGATAGAAGTGAGTTGCCGGCTTCCCTCTCCCCCAACGGCAGAATCTGGACTGGAACCCAGGATTTCGGTCTCTGTGACTGCTCCTCCAGCCGGCAGCCCTCCGGCCGCCATCGGGAAACTGCTGTCGTCCGTTTCCCAAGCACTTTTCTCTAAAAAACCTGGAAGGAGATTCCTTGACAGGAGGGGGAGGAGTTGGGGGCGGGTGCAGCTTGAGGTGGAGAAGAGTTGTCCCCTGCGGGCAGTGAGGTTAGAGCCCGTGCTGTGGAGGCGCGCGGTACGGATCCCGGTGCACCCTCACTGGCTGTGTGCACTGGGCAAGTGGCTCCCACTCTGCCCTCAGTTTCCTGATCTGTAAAATAGGCGTGGACAATGGCAGCTATGCTGCGGGACTGAACGATGTGAGCCGTGCCTGGCCCCTGGGGCAGGTTCAGTGAGTTGTTGCTGCTACTGAAGCTGGAGTCCTAGTCTTTTTTCTCTGAGCCAGAGGGGAAGAGTTGGGCCCCGGGCCACTGTGGGCTGGCCCTTGTCTCTGGGCCTGTCCAGCTCCAGCTCCTTCTGACTGCCCTCTCCGAGGGCACGTGGCCTCAGTCCTCAGGTGGTGGAAGGATTTCAGAGCTGGTGATTCTCAGGGGTGGAAAGCAGAAGGGGCTTCTCTGTCCTGGCTCCCTTTTTCCTCTTTCAGCTTTGCCTTTGGAGACTCCACCCACCCTCAGGGAAGAGCCCAGAAAGAAGATATGGCTATTGGACGGAGGGAAGCAACGTCTCATGTGAGTTCATTGATATCTTTGGTCTTAGAAACAGATATATGAAGTCCTCTGCTGCATGCAGTCTTCTGCAGGACCCGGAGCCCAAGCCCTTTCCTCCTTCAAGAGTAGATCCACCCAGGGGGAGGGTGGATTCTGTAGGGAATGTTTGCCTCCTCCCTGCTAATCCATGTCTAGTGTTTCTCTTTTCTTTTCCTAACAGACACTTCTTTTTTTTTTTTTTTTTTAAAGATTTTATTTATTTATTTGACAGAGATCACAAGTAGGCAGAGAGGCAGGCAGAGAGAGGGGGGCAGGAAGCAGGCTCTCCGCCGAGGAGAGAGCCCAATGAGGGGTTTGATCCCAGGACCCTGAGATCATGACCTGAGCCGAAGGCAGAGGCTTTAACCCACTGAGCCACCCAGGCGCCCCCAGACACTTCTTTTTATCCATTAATCTCAATTCAGTGTATGATTACTAACTTGAGAGGTGAGATGCCACGTGGGGACAGAACACACACACACACACTCACACACTTGGCAGCTCCTTTCTGGCCCTGCTTCCTTGGCTCGCCCTGGTCTCCTTCCCTACCCTTGTTTTTTTTTTTTTAAGGATAACCTCCCTAGACTTCTCCATCCCATCATTGTCCGTTTTTTTCTCCCTCTTTGTGGATCACGTGCCTTGTTTCTGTACTCTCTTGAAAATTGTTCTGGACCTGCTATTTTCATCCTTCCCTTGTTGGAAACAGGGGAGGGACCCAGTCCAGGTGAGCCAGTGCCTGACCAAGGAATAGCCGTGTTGGAGGGGACACAGCTGGAGAGATCTCTGGACTCCAAGGGCAGAGAGAAGGCTCCCCAGGAGGGAGCAGGGAGGGGTGTACAGGATATCAGGAGTGGGGAGGCAGGGTCTCCAGTGGGTAGGAAGCGGGGCTTGAAGCCAGACTGCCAGGCTTGAACCCATCTCCTTGGTTACGTGGGCCTTGGACAGATGTGCCTGTTTCCTCACCTGGACAATGGGAATAACAAACATGCCGACCTCATGGGACAGGTGAGAGGGTCACACAAGTCAGTGTATGGGAAGTGTTTGGATTAGGGCTGGGCACTAGCAGACGCCCAACAAGGGGTGGTCGTGGGAGCCGGATAGTGTCACTGAAGTGCTGATACCACTCATGCCAACAGATGGGACCTGCTGGACCGTGTTGCTGGGACTTGTCCTTTCACTGCTCATCTGCATCTGACAGTCATAGTGTTGGGTGTCTGCCTGAGGGCGTGGCCTTTTCATGCTCACACTGGTGCAGCAATGATCATCCCCATGTTTCACACTAGCAAACTTGAGGCTCAGAGACATCCAGTAACCTGAATTCAAACCCCAGTGTGTCTGGCCACTGGTCCAGGCTCGTCACTGCGCAGCCATTCCCCTGGTGCCTCTTTCGGATCCCAGGGCAGCCCCAAACCCCGTGTTCCCAGAGCCCTTCTCCACTGTTGTGTTGATTTGGGGCCCAGGAAATGCGGTGGTGGTTGGTCCCGGGCTGGGACTGGCCGGTGCATATTTCTAAAGCTTTCTTCTCTAGTTCCCACAGACTGACCTTGCTCTCTTGCCCAGAATATTCTCCATCCCTGCAGGGGAGTGAATGCATGTGGCATTGTCCCTAACCTCACCTGCTCCCATGTGCCCCTACTGCATGGGCTTGCGGGTAAAGCCCAGCAACACCAGAGAGAGAATGTACCAAGTGCTGGCTTAACAGAAGACTTTAATTATTGTCCTGCCTCTGCCGCTGGTAAAGTAGGTGGCCTGTGGTCTTGACTGTCCTGGACCAGATTCTGGTCCTTATCTCTAAAATGAGGATAGAGCTGGGAGATGGTATACAGTCCTGCCCAGGTACACATTCTTCTTTCATTGATCCAATGTGTTTATCTTGTCTGCCAGCTGGACTGTAAATTCTTTGAGAGCAAAATTATTTCTCATATTCCTCCCTAATATGTAAATAATTCGATTTTTTTCTTACCATAAAGATACTGTATAATCATGGTAAACATTGTAGAGAATAAAATATGCACATATGTGTGCATAGATGTATAGATATATGTGTGTGTGTGTGTGTGTGTAGAGTTGACCCTTGAGCAACACAGGTTTGAACTGGGCAGGTCCAGTTACCCATGGATTTTTTTCGATCAATACAGTAGAGTACTGTAAATGTATTTCTCTTATGCTTCTTTTTTGGTTTATTGTTTCAGAGAGAGAGCGTGCAAGTAGATGAGTGGAGACAGAGAAGAGAGATAGAATCTCAAGGAGATTCTGTGCTGAGCACAGAGCATGATGCGGGGCTCGATCCCATGACTCTGAGAGCGTGACCTGAGCGGAAATCAAGAGTCAGAGACTTAACCAACTGAGCCACCAAGCGCCCCTTATGATTTTCTCAATAACATTTTCTTTTCTCTAGCTTATTTTAGTGTAAGAATATAGTATATAATACATATAACATGCAGAGTATGTGTTTATCGACTGTTTATTTTATCAGGAAGTCTTCTAGTCCACAGTAGGCTATTAGTAGTTACGTTTTGGGGGAGTCCAAAATTATATGTAGATTTTCGACTGCATATGAAGTCAGGGCCCCTAACCCCCTCCTTGTTCAAGGGTCATCTGTATATATTTTTTTCATATATTCAAAAGAAAGTAGAATCACCCTTAACCCCACCATCTGGAGATAATCACTGTCAATCATTTGTTGTGTATCTCTCAGCATCATTTATATATATATATATATATAAATTTTTATCAGAAATGAGTACAAACTATACACTGATATATAACAAATATAAATATTTGTATTTAACATGATCATGGATGTCTTTTTGACAGATATTGACCTAACCATCAGTTGTACTGGTTCCATAGTATTTTATATTGATGTGAAAATAGCTAACATCTGAAGCTTTGGTAGGCCCCAGATATGGTATAATTACATTGCATGGATTATCTCATTTATTTAATAGCTCTATGTGATAGGTTGTGGGAGGCATTTCTGCAGTTAAGAATGGAGACTTGGACATGTCCCTGGACTGGAATCCCAGGTGTCCCACTGACTAGCTGTGAGACTTCAGGCAAATTTATCCTCTCCATGGCTGTTTTCTGTCATGTAAATGGAGACAGTGATAATATCTTCTCTTAGGTTTGTTGTGACTTTTAGATAAAGATTATATTAAAGATTAATAGGTAACTGAATCAGAAAAAAGAAAGATCAATAGAAAGCTCTAGGGATTGTACCTGGCCCGTGTAGAGCATTTGGGAGTAGAGAGAGATTTCAGTTTCCATTATTTCTGTCCTCCAGCTTCAGTGAGCACTCAGTGCCCTCTGTTAGTGACCCTGCCCTTCATCATACGTGATGACCTAGCTTGTTTCTCATTTTTTTGGTATTACTAAAACCATGATAAATGCTCTATGTGCACTTTTGTGTACTGCTCATTATAGTAGAAATATAATAATTGGTGAGTTAAAGAATAAACATATTTTAAAGATTTTAATATGTATTATCAAATCCCCATCAGCAAGATTATTCTAATTAACACTCCAGTAGTCTTAATTCCTCCCTGCATCTCCTTATACTGGTTAACACAGGGCCTGGTAAGACTTTATGCTGCTCAGTATGTATTTGTCACTGGCCAATGGTTCATTGAACAAGAAATAACCTGAAACCTTAAGAAACCAGAATGACATCAGAAGCCTTTCATGGCAGCCCATCCTCCCCCCTCAACTGCCACCACCTTTACCCTGTGTGATGAGAGGTCCTGGGTGAACTGGGATGGCTTGTCATTACAGGTGTCGGTGACCTTCGAGGATGTGGCTGTGCTCTTTACACGGGATGAGTGGAGGAAGCTGGGTCCTTCTCAGAGAAACGTGTACCAGGAAGTGATGCTGGAGAACTACAGTAACCTGGTCTCACTGGGTAAGGGAATTTTCCCTGTAGATGAAAAAGACAGTAGCATAAGTCAGCACCTGCTTCCCTGCATAAAAGCTGTGGGGCATCAGGAACTTTCAGCTGAATTTGGCCTTGGGGTTGTGCACATTGTAAATAAATATTTAAAGCTTCTTTCCCACTGTAGGCATGGATTTGTCCCACACGTGGGACAGCTGACATACTTGTAGGTTAGAAATTCCCTCATAGTTAGGCAACATTTCCTGCTGTGATTTTCTGTGATTTGTTTGCTCAGTTCACAGCAGAAAGCATTGCTCAACTGTCTTCATTACCCTGCCGCCAGCCTTTCCCAATTCTCCCTTCCAGCCTGACAAATATGTATAATCCATCTTTGAAAGGGAGTCAGATTGTGCTTTCTCATTTTAAACAGGGCACTTGGTGTGGGTACCTGTTTACAAACATTTAGTCTGCAAATCTAACATATTTCCTCTTCTGTGGCAAGCCGTGGGTACTCTAGAGCTGCCTGTGTATCTGGTGGCATCTCTAACCTGCAGCTACTTCCCACACAGCCATGCCCTACAGGCCCCTTGCCTTTCCCCTCACACACGCCCTCACGTCCTGGGGGCACGGCTGGAGCACCCCACCGGAGCTCTTTGTACCATCCCCTGCGTTTTCCATTCAGATCCATGATGCAAAAGAAAACCAAGTCTTATCTTTCTCTTTTATTTTTTCCTGTTTCTGAGCAGGACTCCTGTTTTCCAAACCAAGAGTGATCTCCCTGTTGCAGCAAGGAGAAGATCCCTGGAAGGTAGAGAAAGAAAGTCCTGGAGGCCCCTCTCTAGGTGAGTGGGTGGGACCGAGCGGCGGGGGATGGGGGCGGGCAGCAGTCTTGCGGTAAGTGGACGGTGCGGCTCGGAGATGTTGGTCAGGAAGGTTTCTCCGGGGCCTCTGTCCTGGAGAAGTGACAGAGAGGGGACACTCGGGCCCCAGACACGAGCTTTCTCTTACTCTCTGGTAATCAATTCCCAAATGAATCTCTCAGGAGCTCTTCTTATTCGTCCCTGTTTTCAGAGGAGGGCTGCACATCGCGGATTCAGTCAGCAGTGTATTTAAGGAATGGCAGAGAATCAGTCTGACCGAGGCTCAGGGTTATGTGAGAAGAAGCCGAGGAAGGAAAGGGTGTCAGAAAGCTAGCAAAGCCGCATTACACTGGGCTTTGACAAGAGTCTCGGCCATGGGACCGTCCCATGGAAATGAAAGATTTTCAGCAGGAGACTGGAGTTCTGGGTATTTTAGAAAAATTGGCTTAAATGTGGAACAGTGTAAATGTCCTTTGGTGAGGACGTGGCTGGAGAAGTTGGAGCAAGTCACTGCTCTGGCATCGAGGGCCACTGTCGGAGACAAGAGCAGCTGGTGTGGACAGAGCTGGCGTGGTGCAGGGGGCAGCTACTGCTGTGTCACTGTTGATGCTGAAGGGCGATGACGTGGCTGTATGTGCATGTGTAATGTGTGCGGAAGTGCCGACAGAAAGGCTGGGGGGACGCACCTGAGCTGGTGCCAGGAGCTCCACGTGGAATGGGATCGAGAAGGGGCAGGATCAAAGAGGGCTTTAGTTGTATGTAATCTTAACATTTCAAAGAGGATAGATTGATGAAATCCTTATGTAATTTGAGTTTACTAAGAATAGTCACTTTGAAGCATGGTGGGGGATAGATTGAAAGTGAGGGAAAAGCTGATGGGGAATCTTCCTGGAGACACTTGCAGTAAGGTAGGTGAGATGTTTCTAGGGTGGGATAAAGGCATGGGCACTGGGGTCCAGAGGGAGGGAGAGGGGTCCCTTTGTTAAGGGTGTAGGGTGAGTTTGCTGTGGGGTGGTTCTCACTGGGGAGTGAGTGGAATGCCTGGGGAGAGATGCTCGTGGACAGCTGTACGAGGTCTATGGGAGCTCTGAAGGCAGGTCAGGGAGCCCTCGGTACAAAGGTGGCATTTGATGCCTCGAGCTGATCAGGCAAAGGCACAGAGCAGAGGACAGAATCCCAGGAAACCTCATCATTTACAAGGTGGGTTAGGAAAGAAGACTCTGGCTGAGCCTGAGACGTCATCAGAAGAGAAAAACGGGAGAGGCAACTGACAGGGAAGCTGGGGACAGAGAGCTGATGAGTGCGGGAGCATCCAGGTTTGAGTCCCCATCCCCTACTTTCCTGTCCCCTAATGAACAGTGCGTGAGCTCTGTGCTGGGCACTGGCCATACGACACTGGACAGAAAGACGCAGGTTCTGCCGGCTGGAGGTCACGGTTGGGTGGGGAGACAAGTGATGGTGCACTGAGTGCACACAGGGTGTCGAATGACCCCATACAATGGCTGCAGAGTGTGTGAGCGTGCGCAGCGGAAGGGGCGGTGTGGGCAGAGGCTTCCTGAGGAGGTGGGATCCGAGGATGTGGAGCCGGGTCCAGCCACAGGAAAGGTCCACCTGATTCCAGAGAAGGGAAGCCAGTGGGTGCTGCCGGGAGCCAGGAGAGCTCCACGGGGACCAGTGTGGGGAGCCTGGACACGGATCTGGTCTTGTCTGAGAGCCAGGCTGGGAGCCTGGGGACTGGGAAGTAGCCTGACCATGGCCCCAGGCGTACACTGCTGAGAGCAGCCTGCAGGCTGAGGGGGGCCTGTTGGTGTGGAAGGGAGGGCTGCTCCCCGCTACTGTCGGGTCCAGATGCGTCAGTGATGGCCTCTCATTCCGTGGGCCCCGCAGAGGAGCTGCAGGCCGGGCGCTCTCCCTCCCCAAGCCCCCAGGCCAAGGGAGCCTTCTTCCCTCCATACTCTGAGGTTTCTGCTGTGGGAACCACCTGTGTGTCTGTCTGTCTTACTCTGGTTTGGGAGAAAGACACAAGGTCTGGGAAGCGGGTAGAGGCCGCCATCAAGCGCCCAGAGCAGGCAGGAGTCTGTGAATCAGCCGAGGCTCTGCAGGGCGGCGTCTGGGCCGAGTCTGGCAGGAAAGATCTGAGGAAGAGAAGGAAGGCTCCGTCCCTTTCCCCGCACCTCGGGAGCCTCCCATCCAGGAACGCATCTCTCTGAGTGAAGCAAGTCATCGGTGGGTTCCGGGGAGTAAAAGTGTGACCAGAGTCTGGAGTCTGGAGCTGTGCTGAGAGGCGCTGGGCCCCTGGGGAATGGGGCTGGAGTCCTCAGCAGCCTCCTCCTTGGCGTCGGGGACATGTCCCTGAGGGTGGACCACGGGCGGGAGCCGGGAGGAAGAACAGCACAGCCGACTGGTAAGTGCACATCCCTGGACAGGGTGCACCTTCTCTCCTGCAGAGATGGCAGTCACCCCGGGGTGCCCCGGGAGTGCCTGCGTGTGTCTGTCTGTCCGTCCAGCACCCCTGGCGAGTCTCCATCTGCCAGGACTAACGTGGCCTCAGAATGGCTTCCCTCCGGAGTGCAGCTGGCTTCACCCTAAGCGCCGGTGAAGGACGGGGTGTTCTGGAAGTAGCTCAGGTTGTTAACTCTGGAGCAGACCGGAAACCTGCCCCTCCCGCAACCCAGTGACCAAAAAGCCCGTGCTCGGGGCACCTCTAGCGGCCTCCCAGTGGGCCGCCTTTTTAAAAAACATTTCAAAACTATTTGCAAATAGGAAAAACAGAAAAACAAAGGGTCATGGGGGGAATGTTTGAAGTGAGAGGTGGAAGGCGCTGGCAGGAGGGGTGTGAGTCTCCTCTGAGTCTCTTGCTGAGAAGGAACACACCTGGGGGGTGGGGGGGGGGGGGGGCGCTTTGCCTGAAGAGTTGTAATGAGGCGATTAAACCAGCCGGTACATCATGAGTTAGCTCTAAGCCTGAATGCGGAAACAGTCCTGAAATCTAAAATTTAAAAATGCAGGTATGATCTGGGTAAACAGTTACCTTCCAGTGAAAATGTGCTTTCCTTGCCTGCCACTTTCTCCTTCTTTGTCATCTCAGCGCAAGAAGCCTGGTGGGGGGACTGAACCCCCACCACGTGGTCAGCAGAGGGGTCCCTGGGGGCTGCCCCCACACAGAGGGTGGGGCCTCTTTTTCTAACTCGCACAAAGGTGCTGCCCTTAGCAGCCCAGTGACCCAGTAGGGTGGGGGTTTAAAGAATGAATCTCGGAGGAGGTGAAAGCAGAGAGCGGGTACTCATAGGCGCCTCTACTGTGTTTGGTCAGTCTTGTCCTTGTCCCCTGCCCCCTCTCCCCAGCAGTACCCTTGCTGGCCCTGCACCTCCCTCCTGCCACCAACCTCTGTTCCCATAGCTGCAAGAATGCTCTATTAAAAGGTAAATCAGGCCACCTCACTTCCCTTCAGAAAACCTCTCCTGGCTTCCTTCTTGATGTTTACATTTCAAAGAGATGGCTCCCAGAAGCTTAAGAAAAACCTCCTTGGTGGGGGCCTGGGTGGCTTAGTTGGTTAAGCAGTTAACCATCTGACTCTTGATCTCAGCCAAGGTCTGGCCCTCTGGGTTGTCAGTTCAAGCCCCACATTGGGCTCTGCACCTGGTGGAGCCTGCTTAACAACCAAGAACATCCTTAGGTTATAATGTTCCCGGAGGCTTATAGTGTTCACAGGTTTATATACATTTCATATCAAAAGCACAGAGGAAGGATTTAGAAATGCAAATTTTCTCAAAGAAATGCTTTGAGGAAAAGGTACAGAGCCCTCTTTCCCTTTGGAGCTCCCACCACAGAATTTTCCAGAGCAACTGTACTTTCACCTTCCCACCTGCTATGCAGGCATGGAGGTTTCAATTTATCTAGTGTTGCCAAACTTCTTATTGTCCCCTCATAATTTTTTATTATGGTAAAACACAAGTAACATAACATTTGCCATTTTGACTGTTGTTAAGTGTACAATTTAGTGGCATTCAGCTCATTCCCAAGGCCGTGCAACCATCCCCACCATCCAGGTGCCAGAAGTCCTCTCTAATCCCTTCCTGAAACTCTCTTCCCACTAAACACTAATTCTCCACCCACCTGTCTCCAGGCCCCTGCTAATCGCTGTTCTCGGTCTCTGTGTTCGACTCTCGTAGGAACCTCATAGAATTGAAATCTTATAGGGGTGCCTGGGTGGTTCAGTGGGTTAAAGCCTCTGCCTTTGGCTTGGGTCATGATCTCAGGATCCTGGGATCGAGCCCCATGTTGGGCTCTCTGCTCAGCAGGGAGCCTGCTTCCCTCTCTCTCTCTGCCTGCCTCTCTCCCTACTTGTGATCTCTGTCAAATAAATAAGTAAAATCTTAAAAAAAAAAAAAAAGAATTGGAATCTTAGAACACTTGTCATTTTGTGGCTGGCTTATTTCATTCCACATCGTGTCTTCAAGGTTCATCTACATTGTACATCTGTCAGAATTCCATTGTCTTAGGGCTGAACAGTATTCCATTACATGTCTGTGCCACACATGGTCTATCATTTGGTCTGGATATTTGGATGATTTCCATCTTCTGGATCTTGTGAATAATGCTACTCCGAACGTGGGTGTGCAAATACCTCTTTGGGTCCCTGCTTTTGGTTCTTTTGGGTACATTGGAGTGGAACTGCTGGATCACTTGGTAATTCTCTACTTAACTTTCTGAGGAACTACTATTTCCATTGTGGCCACATTAGTTTACATTCTCACCAGCAACGGAGCGGGGTTTCAAAGTCTCCACATCCTTGCCAGTATTTGTTATTTTCTGGTTTCTTTTGTTTCTGTTATCCATAGCCATACTCATGGATTTAAAGTGGTATCTGGTGGTTTTTGATTTATATTTCCCTACTGATTAATGATGTTGAATGGTCTTTTCATGTGCTTATTGGCCACTGATATATCTCCTATAGGCAAATGTCTGTTTTAAGTCCTTTG